TTTAAGGGCAACAGGAATGATCTTGCAAGGAAATACAAAAGCAGACGACCTCACCTTATTGCATTTTTGAAGGGTTCACAGCAGAGCAAAAGAAAACTCAAGGAAGAAAACCCAGCCCTTTTTGAATACTTCACAGAAATTTGGCAGCTTAGAGATCGGCACATGGTGGAGGGGCTCCCAAGTCAGTACATATTCCAGCTCCTACCATGCTACAAAGATGTCTGCATTCACCCAGTCTGCAGAAAAGGTAAACCTGATAAAGAGCTTGTGTGGTACGCTGGTTGACCACCCCTTTCGTATCTTCCCATTCCTGTTCCAGACCCAAAGCATTGTTGGGAACAGCCATGTGACCGATGCAAGGGCCTTTGCACCGGCCATTATTTAAACCCAAATGATCATGCTGAGTTTGTTGCAAGGAATGGGACAGAGAAATGTGTATTTGTCCCGCCAAAAGATCAGCTGGAATCAGCGGCCAAGTTAAAGTTTGAGAAAAATGAAGAGTGGACACAGGCAGACTAAGAAAACATCGCCAGGCAGGTGCTTCTTTCTGCTGAAGATGCTCGTATTTGGGTAGAACACGTTGGCCTAACATCAGAGAGAAGAAAGGCAGTGGCTAAGAAAGCTGCTGAAACTAGAGCAAGGAAGAGACAGGATCGCCAAGGTAAGGTTACATATCAAGAGCCAGTAGCTGCTGCTGTATTGTAATGTCCTCAAAATGTATCCGATTGATAAAATGACTACATGCAAGGAGATCTAATAGACCAATTTCGAGATATTAAAATTCATACTTGGCTCCGAGGCTTGGGGGAATAAACAATCGAAATCACATTGAGGTCCGGCGTTGAATTATTCATTTCTTTTGTTTTATCCCCCCAAGCCTCGGAGCCAAGTATGAATTTTAACATCTCGAAATTGGTCTTTTGAGCAAGGAACTTTTATTTATTGTTAAATATACATTTCTTTTAACAGCTGCACAAGAGGATGAAATTGAAAGTGATGATGGCGGAGATCTCTGGTGTTATTGTAGAGATATAGAACATGGGTAAGTCTTTCTGATCAAGAACGTAAATAAGGCAATTAGTGTTGCAAGTTTCAATTCTACTTTTTCAATGTATTTCGTGTTTTGTCGCGCTCTCTCACTAACTTTGTGAATAAGGACTAATAAGAATGTTTTTATTGTTCCTAATGGTTCCTTAACTTGTACATAGTTTATTCCTTTATATTGTTCGATTGCCTTTGTACTTTTCTCAAACAGAGGACTGGGTGTTGTGATTTTTTTTTGCCGACTTATGCTATTTTTTGTTATTTTTCAGGTTCATGATTCAGTGTGATTCTCAAGGCCCGTCATGCTTCATTTGGTATCATGGGCCATGCCTGAAGATATCCAAGAAAAAAGGACGGCAAATGGAAATCACAAACAACCCTTTTATTTGCTACAATTGTCATTGAGCAAACCTTACTTTAATTCATCCTTAGAACTTGTAATGTAAAGCATAGCTTGCAACGCAGGCTGATTTAGATCAAATTAGGTTTCCAGCCTGACAGTGAATTTTGTTATCTGTCCTCGATTTATGACAAACATAAATAGCTTTCTCAATGGATTTTTTATATACACACGGGGCAGACCACTATCATTTCCTGTTTATAGTGTTATTTCTGAATCATCTAAAAGTAGTTCATAGTGTAATTGATTTTGGGGGTTTTCATCCTTTGTGCGCTTTGCTTGGTGGTGCATTTAAAAACAGTATACCTTATTATAGGAAATTAACGCTCGTGTTAATTAACGTATTGGAAATAACCGCGACTTAAAATTAACACGATTTGAAGGTAAATTTGCTTCCAAATAATGGAGATTAACGCGAAAGAAGGGGGAAATTTTCTAAATAAAGGAAATTAATGTCAGCTACACCAAAACGGCTTAGGGACTTGTCAGAAATTAGCAGGGGGAGGGGGGTGGAAACAGAGGGGGGTCACAACTTTTGAGCCTCAGAAAAGGGAGGGGTCATGAAAAATGGGCAGTTATAAGGGGAGGGTCATGCAAATATATGCCCGTGATCATGTAGAGGTTCACCCACAGAAGAAAAAGGAAGTTCTTTATTTGGCAAAAAAAGAAAAAATACAACGGTTTACGGAACGTTATGGATATAAACTGTGAAGTACTATAGCAAGAATTTAACAAACATGTACTTTTCATTTATAACAGTGCTATATAGTCTTATTGAAATTATGAATAATGTTGTTATTAATAATGTTAGTACAAACAATGCTCCCTCAGTGTGGAAGAGGTGGATGATCATGATGAATGTGAGGTAGATGAAGGGGATGAGGCATTACCCAGTTGTTCTAGTGATGAAGACTTTGTATTGGGAGAAATAGGAGAGTCGAGTGATCAGTCGGACTCTTAATGCTGTCATCGAAAATGTATGTATGTAGCATGACAAGGAACAGATTAGAAATATATTTTGAGTTTTCATAATACTGACGCACCCTAGTGTATTGCAAGAACTAGATTTTATCATTTATACAAGAGGGGGGGTCATGATATTTTAGGCCAAGCTCAAGGGAGGGTTAGCAAATTTCACTCCCATAGCAGGGATGGGTCACCTAATTTCCGAACCCAAATTTAAAATTCCCACCCCCCCCCTCCCCCCCTGCTAATTTCTGACAAGTCCCTTATTTAAACTCTAGGCTGATGTTGAGAACTATTATTCTGACGGAAAACAAAGAGAATTTGGGAAAAATACAGTAAAGCGATCTACCATACAGGTGAAAGATTGATGTGAAAATAAGTGAGCAAATAAAATTAAATGTTTGACTGTGTCAAAAATGTCTGAAGCGTGTCAATGATTTCGGGGGAAAATAACGTTAACGTCGCAGAAATAGCCCAATTTCGATATCTTTCAGCGTGAGAGACTGGTGGCGAAACTTTAGCACCAAAGCGAGGCTCCGGGGAATACGGCGCGAATAATAAAACAAACACTGCAAGGAAAGCTATGTGCGTTTGACAAATCGGGAAATCTTGGCGTCTTTTATTTGTCCTTTGCAGTTTATTTTCCTGTGTACCATGGTCAAGTATTGTGCTGTTGCTCTGTGCCGTAATGGGAGTAAGAAACGACCTGATCTCAGTTATTTTTGCTTTCCTACAAGGCCCAATGAGCGTAAGAAGTGGGAGGTTTTCTGTAAGCGAGCGGATAAAAAATTCAAGACACTCGGCGATCCAAGAATCTGTTCATTGCATTTTAAGGAAAGCGACATCGAGATTTCAATTTCATACGGTTAGTTCGCATTCGAAGCGTCTTGCCGATAGGAAGAGACAGTGTGATGAACAACCGCAAGCCAAGAAAGTTTGCCCCAGAGAGCTCGAATTTGAGGACTCCATAGAGACTTGTGTGGATTTTAGTGCTGATGTGGCTTCAGTAAACCATGATCACTCGTACTTTTGCATCGAGGAACAGGCAACACCGACTATATGTTGCCCAGGTTGCTCCAGGGGTGGGGGTTTTGTCCCAATTTTTGCCCTACCCGAGGGGCTTTAGCATGTATTTGTCACGGCAGCTGTGACAAATGCCCCTGGGTGCCCGGGGGTCGACCCCTCGGGATGGCCGCTGATACCCGCATTATTGCAAAATATATTTCGTAAACAAAACTCGATTGACAAAAAAATTCATAAAACAATAATTTTCCGTATAAAGTTTGCGAGGAAATGGTTCAACTTAAATTCTCTACTCAGCAAGGGTTAAAATTCGGCTGCCTTTTTTTAAACCCGTTGGAAGTGTTTTGAATTATCAGCTCATGAGGTTCACAGAATCTTCGCTCTGATTTCGGTTCTTTTTTTTGGCAATAAAGATAAAACTGAGCAACAGAGAATCCAACCATTATTACTGGCCCGAGAAGTTCGGTAGTTGTTGAACAGATTAAAAGTGTGACATGATTGTTTTCAGTATTGTGCAATGCTGTTTGGAAATCTAAAGTAGTTGTTAATTTTAAGTTTCGCAACCATGACGATCGATACCTAATGAAAGCTCTGAACAACTTTTTAATTCGTGACGACAACCCGTCAATTGATTTATTTTTGCTTTTTCTCTTTAAAGAGCATTGTCTACAGTATTTAGAAGAAATAACCTGCTCAATTAATTTTGCACAAAAGTGATTGCTCAGCATCGGTCATTGCAGATCATTGCACGGATTTCAAAAGATTCTTGCCGAGTGCTCCAGTTTTAGCATGTGTAGATGATTGGCGATCTTTTCGTGGAGCACGAAACATTCGAAACAGCCGAAGCAAGAAAGCTGACTTCAGAGGAGGAAAAGGAATACAACCTGTCTTCATTTACTAAACCATGAAGATAGCAGTGAAGAATTGAATGCGCAGGAATACCTGCCTTATTAGATGACTTTTGATCAAGTGCCTGATTGAGTGTCAAAAGAACTTTCTCAAACTAAACTTTCAAAAAATGTCTGGAAGATATGAAATTTAAGTTCAACGTCATCTAAGGCTTTGTCTCTACCTTCTACCTTGTCTCTCAAAAGATTCATGTTGGCCACGTTAATTCCTTAGCTCCCTGAGGCAATTCAAATCTTCTGCTCTCGGTTCGTCCAATTCTCTTTAAACTATACCTTGTTGCTTGAAATTTCAGTTTTGCCAGATTCAAACTTTTTCTTCATTCCAATAAAAAAGCCTGGTACTGAAAAAAATCCTTGGCAAAAAACGACCTGAGTATATGCACCTCCCAATATCTTTTGTAGACGACCCACACAAATTCGAGGGCTTTCAGCGATCTCTTTGGACATTCTGAAGATTTCCGTGAGCCTCACGAAGAGTTCCCTGAACTTAATCCCCGTGTTCCCTCTTTTTGGTGGAAAGCGCAACCGATTGCCCAATTTTCGAAAATCTATTAGTTAAAGCCCGACAAATAATTTTGTTGGAAATTTTATTGATCTGCGAACAGGAACTGCATAATTTTGGGCTAGAGACGCAGTCTATACTCAAGCGCGCTGAAGTAGTCGATAAATATTATTTTAGAGAACACGGTACAGCTACTTAAAAGAAGCAGATTTCCCTCTCAATAAAGGGGAGGGCAGTTATTGGGTAAAAAGTTCAATGGTGGAGCGCTCCATTCTGTTTGATTGTTTGAAGCAATTCGCGCCTTTGGTGTACGTAATTTTCTTGCGATTAAACGCTGTTTACGTAACGTACACTGAAATTTCGCCGGAAGGTCGCGTAATTTTCTAATTTTTCAATCCCAGTTTCTCGCGGTCTCGGTCTGTCATACTGGGGCGAGTTATTGCACGTTCCACCTGTTCCTTAGTGAGAAATGCCAGTTGTCATGGAAACTTTTCCCTTAAAAATATTCCTGCTTTTCCACAAAACCAGCTGGAAGTTGCAAGGCTTCTGAATTCTTAATTGCCTGTTTCTATTTTGACTTTCACTATTTCTTAAATTAAGGCACCTTTACTATTTTTAGCTCGAACGGGTTAAGCTGTTTTGCTCTGACTTCTAAATATTTCATGCAAACTACCTCTAGGTGTTGTCAAAATTTCTATTTTTACCGAAGAATATCACTTTTGAGCTGGAAATTTCCATTTGCCGTGAATTTCCTGCTATTAAATGCAGCTTCGTTTTAACTGACGACTTCGATAGTTTCCCGGCGACCGAGTTATTAGTAGTGATCTTCGTAAACCTTCGCCCGCTACTTCTAAAAATAAACACATCTTATCATTAGGTTTACCAATTTAGACCCACAAGAAAAACATAAACCATCTGAATCCTAGTTTAGTCATGAGAAGTGAGACCTAATTATGCTTTTTCTCTGGGTTTCCATTTGTCATGAATGAAATAACCTCGAAAAAATTATAATTCGTGGAAATAAGTTCTTTGCAGTCAACGAGCTGTAAATTCTTAGAAGGAAGCAGAAATCAAGAATTCAAATAAAAAAACCTCTTCGATTTCTCTCTCAGCTTCTACTGTGTAAATTTTAACCAAATCCTTGGAACTATTGAGACTTAATAAGACAGAAAAGCATGTATGCATGGCACCAATGAAAAGAAAACGAAGAGAAAACTCCTCTTCTAAGAAATGCAAATTTGTGTAGTTCAGTCGAGAGGGACCAGTGAAGGATCTCTGCTGAGAAAGTGTGAGTCAGCGGCGTTTCACTTAAGAGAAATGTGAAAGCGAGGCTCTAAAACAAACATGGCGGATTTTGCGGATTCGAATCCTATACCGTGAGATGGGCTGTAAATGCTCAAAGTTTTGTCGACAAACTCGAAATGAAACAAAGAAAACTACAGGAATCGAGATTAAGGGGACTGGTAGTGGGAGAAATGATGAAAGAAATCAAGAGTCAGGTTCAGAGCTCGAAGAGCGCCAACCTTTAACCGTATGTGCGGAAGATCAAGAAGCGAAAAACAGACTTACTCAAGTCGGAATAAATGAAGAAATTGCGAACGAGCTTCTACTATTGCGTGGAAAAGGTTCTCTCAAGACCACCAGAGATATTGTTACTGTTTTGGAAAAATATAATGCGGACTACAAAGTTGCAATTGAGCAGCTGGATAGCAACACTCTTGTTAGAGTGAACTCTTTGGGTAATCTTAGCGTTGAAAAGGTCGAGAAAAAAGGTATTTTTAGTTTTAAAAGCGTTGAGGAAAAAGGATTTGTTGATTCGGAGGAGAAAATAGATATAAACACAGCATCTGTGGAGCTTTTAGAGTCTATAAAAGGCATCGGACCAATTCTTGCTGGAAGGATTGTAGCACACAGAGAAGAACATGGCCCATTTGCTGAGCTAGGAGACATTGTTTCAGTCAGAGGAGTGAGCAAAAAACTTTTGGACAATGTAATGTCACAAGTGACTGTTACATCAGCAAAGATTCCTAAGATCCCCAAAATTACTCCCTACTTAATTAATAACAATACCTTGCGGATTGCATCATGGAATTTGCAGTCCTTTAGTTCTGATAAAGCAGATAATGCTGGAGTTAAAGAGGTTATCTGTTGTACAGTTTTAGAGAATGGGTAAGTAATCTGGAGAAAATGTAAGAAACCATGTAGAATTTCTGAAACATGGCATTGCTGCAAGGTAAGGGAAGTCAGTTGTGTGGCACTCACACAATATTTCTCAGTGAAGTTTGGTTTCCCAAAAATATATAGCATAGTGACCCAGGCTCCAAGCTCAAACAATGAGCTTTCAGTCCAGCATTTAGTGTACTCTTCTTTACATGAAAGCATATTTTAAACTTCCTAATTTGGGGATTCTTAATTAATGTGAGCAACAGATGAAGAGCTCAAAACACAATGTTTCTTCCCTTCTTTAATTTGAAAGCCATTGGCTTTGCATCAGAGGAATACCCATTTGTAAGCATACTTTTTCCACCAGCCGCAACAGATATTTTGGAAATGTAGTTCTAAATCTCTTGATAGATGGTTGCACTGTGGCCTATGCCCCCAAACAACTCCCTTTGGAAATCTACCAATTGTTGATTATTTCTTTGTTTGCTGGAAATCATATTTAGTGCAAAGATCTAATGTTTAACTTTTCTTTCACTTCTATAGACTTGATATACTTGCTATCCAAGAGATTGGTGACACTAATGCTTTGATTAAGGTAAAATAGGAATGTTTTTGTGAGGAAAAAATATATTTAAATTACAGAGATGGAGGGAGTGTTGATCTGTGATGCTTAAACTTTCATTTTCGTTTGCAGATCAAAGATGAACTGAACAGCCCAACAAGTGAAACTGTAAAGACCTTGAAAACTGTTGAACAGCACTGGGAATGTTGCATTTCAGATATTTCAGGCAAAATGTTTCGGGTACTGCAAATTTTCTTGTAGGCTGTCATAACCTTTACACAAGTATTTTGGTCTACCAATGTTTGAACAAACAGGGTACAGGAAAAATGTACCATAAGTGTTCACTTGACAAATCTCTTTTCCAAAAAATGGAATGTTTATAACAGAAGTTTTTGAGCAAAGAGATATGTTGTGAACAGCAAAATTGATAGTCCTAGATGATGTGACAAGGGTCAGAATCCTGTGAGGAAGTTGTTGATAGTTAAGGGAAATTCTCTCAGCAGGTGTGAATCTGTAATGGATGTCATTGACTAGCTTTTTTTTTGTTTTTATTTGCTAATGAACATATTGAGAGACAGAATTCCTGTGTTTTTTTAGCAACATCAGTCTAGTAATTCTGCCTTTGAGCTTTACTTAAATTTTCTTTTTAGTTTCATACTCTGTGACACTCTCATAAGTGTTACCTAGACAAAGAATTGTAGGCACCTTTTGATGTGAAAATATTATCAGTTCTTTTTGTGTAAGTAAAAACATGATTTCAAGTGCAAGTTGGTGTTGATCAGCACAAGTAAATTTGTCAAAGACAACAAAAATTTGCACGAGCTGCTGAGGCAAGTGCAATTTGTGGTCTTTGAAAAACCCTAACCCAAGTGCATTTTACACCAAATTGCAAGAGAAATCATGTTATTAATTATTAAAAATGTACATGAAAAAATGTTACGGAGAGTCAATACAGATGAAATTTTGAAAGTGCGTGCGCACTATTTGTAATTTGCACCTGTTTAACAACTTTGCACTTGTGTTACATGAGAGTGCACTTGTTTTCAGCCAATCAGAAGTACGTAATTTCTTTATGTACATTATTAGAAATTTGCAAAAACTTGCTGATTTAAGGAAATAAGGCCATTAACCATCTAAGGGAAAACAATTGAGTTGTCAAAGCAGGGTTGATTGAAATATTAAGGAACAGCATATGAAATAAATCTGAAGTCACTGAATGATTTTGCACTTGCAAATGTGTTTCTAAAAATTACTGATCAACTGTGGCATCTAGGTTTTGAAATATCTCTATATATATATACTCTGTTTTGGAGGTAATAGTTATTCCATAATGTTATAGAGACATTCTTCTTGTTTTAGTCAGTGGAATACAATGGATTTTTGTGGAATGCAGCAAGGGGTATTAGCTTAAAGAGCTCTGCACTTCTCGAGAAACCTAAGGGGGGCCAAAAGCAGTTTGCCAGGAGGCCATACCTTGGATTTTTTAAGGTACTTTACTAATTTATCAGGGTAATTTGGTACTATCAACTGAGTTGATAACATAAATTGGCCACTGTCAGCAGTTTTAAAGCTGTCTTTTAAGTATTAGCCTTTGGTTGTTTGCTCTGAAGAAGGGCTAATGCTCCAAATGTCAGCTTTTAAACTCTTCACGGTGGCCATTTACATTATCAGCTCAGTTGATAATACTAAATGACCCTGTTATACTCTCCCACCTTTGCAGCACCACAGATTCCTTAGAAACTTAACCCCTTTATTCACTTACCAATTTATGTCTAGATATTTCCAATCACAATTTTTACTTGTGTATCTCGCTGAGTTAGCATAAGTATTTTTTGCTTGTATTTAACTCAATCAGCCATTGGGTTTGGGGTTTGGTTTTAAATCAGATCGTGATTTTTAGGGTTAGGCTAACCCTAACCCAAGGTCAGACTTCCCTAGTACTGGTAACTTAGCCCCTGCATAATACGCTCTGCCTAGGCTTTGTTTTGTTCTCATTTTTCTGTTATTTTTTTTGGCAATGACTTTTGTAGAAACAAGGAGTTAAATGAAATGAGTCTAAACAGTTATTAACAATGTTCTGTTAGCTTTTATTTTATATCTTCTCAGGAGGTTACAATAAGCCTTAGATTGTTTTATCTAGGTTTTTTAGGCTTTTGTCTAAAATTGTTAAATAAGGGCAATTGAGAAAATGATCATTATTAATTAATCATAATCTTTTACCCATGTTATTTCCATAGGCCAAGAAATTTGATTTTGTTCTTGTCAGTGTCCACTTAAAAGCAGCAGGACTAGGGAATTCTGACTTAGAGAGACTCAAGGTGAATGAAACTGTTACTTAAATGACTCTGAGGTGAAGGAGGTAACTGCAATGATTGTACTTTTCTATAAATCCTTCAAAAAATTGAAATATTAAATAGAATAAGAAAGATGATTGATTTTGAACTTAGTCATGAAATGACAAAAGGTATCACTTTTATGGAAGAAAGGATTGAGTATCCCTAGAGGATTAGAACCCCAGTCCATTGGATTCTGCATTCCGATGTTCAACCACTTTGCAACACAGAAATCAATGGTGGGTTGGGCCGTCATTAGTTCCTGGTTGCTGTTAAGCCAATGTAATTACTTGAGTAAATAGAAGAAGAGATGGTAAAGTTTGAATTTCATCATGAAATGAAGATATCTGTTACTTGTCATGTTATTGTTACCCTGATCTTTCTTCTTCATTATGCTCACCTTTCCTGTCCCAACTATCCACAAACCCTGCAAATCTCCTATCACTAGGAAATGCAGCTACTGAATGCCATGGCTTGCCACTGAGTTCTGTTTGATGCAATGCAAGGCGTCAGAAGCTCGAACCCTTGTGCAGGTGTCAGTGTTTATTTCACAATGCTAACAACAATCAATATTGGTGGTGATTCTGATATCAACATGTGATTTTTGGTTCTTGTGATATTTGATTGTAGGAAGAACTTGCTAGAGTTCCTGCGTTGATAACAGCATTACAATCTCATATCCCAGGTAATGGTTTTGTTTTGTCTTGTTGAGCACCAGGAACATGTAGTTGGTTCATTGGTAACCTGGCTACAACTGTCTCCTCCCCACAAAGATAATTTTTGGAGGGCTGGGAGTGGCTAAACACAATCTAACATTCTGAGATTTGAGAGCAAGTTTAACCCTTTTTTTTTAGGGGTGATGGTTTCTTGAATTTTCCTTTTTTTAGACATGGTGAAATAGACAGTGTAGAGTTCTCACAATAACTATTTGAGCAATTTTCATTTGATTGTTGAAAGTAATCCACAGTTGCTTTGGTTTTGCTTTACTTTGCTATGTGATTGGTTCTGAAAACTTGTGCCCAGTACCAATAAATCAAATCCAAGACAAAAACCAAGCATAATTTGGTCTATGGTGTTTTCCATGCTTTAAGTAATCTGATTTTTTCACTACACATTCTTATCATCTTCTTTTGTAATATTCCCTTTCTGTTGATTTGCTGTTGCGATTACTCAGGTTTTAGTGTCATGCAACTCAATTGCAATGCACTCTATCAGTAGTTAAGGGGATATTTGGAAATAGAATAAGGGATATGGTAAGTTTTGAGCTCGGTAGAGAAATAGAGAAAGATGTTTTTCGTCTTGTCATTAGTGCAGGACAAAGAAAAAATTGTGAGTCCCCATGAGGAATTGAACCTTTCAGTCTCTGTGGCTCAGTGGTAGAGCATCGGAGCACAGAACCTGAAGGTCTGAGGTTCGATTCCTCATAGGAATTTTTTCTTTGTCCCACGCTCGTAACAAGACGAAAAACATCTTTCTCTAAGGGTATATTGTTTTGATATGCTGTCCTTTTCTCTGGACTTATTAGCAGAGAAACACGTTGCAATTTGGGGGAACTATCGTTCAGATTAAGGGAGACGTTGGTTAAAATATTGTTACACTTTACCTTGTTTACCATGTCCTCAACAAAAATATCACTTTTCTGCGTGGTCATTGTCCTATTAACGAATAGGTTTTCTTTCTCACTGTCATCTGTAGGAGAGAACGACATGATGGTTCTTGGAGATTTTAACCTTGGACCAGATCTAGATATGGAAGGTAAAAGTTTAATTTAGTCTCTGATGTTAAACTGTTTCCTTTAACCGACTACCTCTTAACATCAGTATGCATATTCTCCATACTACTCCCTAGACATTTTCAAGGGTTCTTATAAGGAGAATGTGTTCAATAATCAAGAGCTTCTTTAGTTGGTGATTATCTCATTCATTCTCATGACCTTAATGTTTGATTCAGGGGTGATGTTTTAAGGAGAAATTAGATGCTAGTCACTCATAGGGGCCAAAGGGTTAACGTGTATTTTGTCCATTTGCTGCGCCTCACGTGCCACTTTTTTGTTCTTAACTCGTTTTGACGTCATCTGTGATATGCTACTGAACATGCCCGGTAACATAGAGTTCTTTCGTTAACTTGGTGTGGTTCCTCTGATCTCACTGTCAACGTGTTGAATTTTACTAATATGTAAGTCTTACTTTTTTGGCAGAATTTGATGCCATGCGGGAAGGCGGGCTTGCTAATTTGATTTCAGCGTCCACTTTCACCAACATAAGCACCAAAAACATGGAAGGATCCAAGAATTATGATAACATCTGGATCAGCAAGCATGCTAAATCAAACCATTTTACTGGGAAGTCAGGTAATGTCGTCATATTGCAATGTGAACACCAGTCTAACCCTTTCGTTTCCCAAGTTTAGAGAGAAAATTATCCTTAACTATCTATTTCATTATCTCTTTGTCGGCTTGTCATTGTTGAGAAATTTGTTGTTACGTCTAGAGAGTAGAGGTGGCAGTTTGGTTGTTTTCACTTTGAGTTCTCGTTGGCTTTTGGAAATTGTTTTTTCTTCTGGTTGGTCCGTTGTAATTACTTTGGTATTAGTTTCACGACAAAATCGAAAGGCCCTCTGGAATCGACCTTTGTTTGAGTTAGTCTAATGTCAGCCCCTTCTTTCGTAAAGTAATCCTTTGCATGAGAAAGAAAAGATCAGCGGAAAAAAAAAAAACGTCTCAGAGCTTACACGTGATGGAGAGATATTACCTGTAGTCTTTAGTGAAGGCGGAAGCAATCTAGGTCTGTCTTTCTTTTTGCGTTCTTTTTAGGAGTGATCAGGGAGCGTCTCACCCACCCCTCCATACCTGATGGTCGGTGGAGCTGGAATGGTGTCGTCTCCGATCATTGTCCGGTTTGGGCCGAGTTCTATTGCGATCGAGATTTCGACGACACCGAAGGCCTTGTGAGTGTCGAGGACATCGCTATTGATGGAAAGGAAATTATCGACTAATGCGAGTTATATTATCAGAAAAAAAAACTGCAATGTAAGATAGACTTTTTAAAATTTAATATACTACGAAAGATGGAACAACAAGATCGGAGTTCCTGTGTTTAAATGAACGCCACACAAACGCACAACTGATCGGTTACTCTGCCTCTAAGGTGCAAAGTAACTTAAAGGCATAGTTACTGACGAGATCACATAATTCACTAGCGTCTTGCGCACTGCTATGGTCAGTAGTATCGAAAGAAGCGTGTTTTACAAAGCAGAATAGGGAAGCGTGAAATTTCTTTTCCACCAAGTAACATGTAATGTTTCCAGTATCGGCTAGGTCTCCTGTATCTTACTTTACCTGTTTATCTTCTTCATTTATGAACTCTTGATATTTTAAGGTAGCCTGATAACAACCTTCAACTGGCAGGATAACAGTACCACGAAAAATATTAACAAATGACTTTTTTAACATTATGATTGACGTTCTCATACAAAGCGAGATAAACATGACGAAAATCGCGCTGATCTTTTGAAGTTTACTGCCACGAATTCCGTTTCCTTTGTATTTTTTTCCTCTGAGTGTTCCTTTTTTAATTGTTTCCATGGTTTTCAGTCATTTTTATGCCATATTCATCTTAGCTCAGCGAACAGTTACTCTACTTGTACCTTGTTAACATACAATCGAATAAAACGAAGGACCCTGGTAACGAGGTGTCCGTTTCTTTACGGTTTCTTTACGGTTTCTTCAGCTCTCGGAGTGGATCTAGGAATTTTTGGTTGGAGGGTTCTCGACTAGCTCACACCTTCCCCACTCACCCCTTTCCCTCGTCATTAGTGGCAACGCAAGAAGGGGAAGCAAGTTGAGCAGTGGTATGCGATCATGTTATTGCAAGAGTTTTATCGTCAGACAAGTAGTAAAAAAAAAAAAAACTGCAGGGTCTTTCATTTGCTGGTGAAAAGCAAAGCTAGTGATTTGTTTTATCGAGCTACGACACTCAAGATTCCAGACTATCATATCTGATTTATTTAGCTTTCGGCGGAATGGTTGGTGATGATCAGAAGCTATCTTGCTTCACTAGCTTTCAGTAGCTATAAGTAAACTTCCAATACTCTTGATAAACCATAAATAGCATGATTGACTAATTAGCAACAAAACGCAAATTGTGTCTACCGCAGGGTGCGACAACATTAATTAGAATTCATAACCGATAAAGCAGCAAATTGAAGGAGACCTCGTACTTCCTAGAGAAGTATGGGTTGAGATATAGGCCAAAAATTTCTCACCGAGCATAGCATGACAAAACTCACTTTTCTGAGTTCAGATCCGCAAACTTCAACTTTCACGCAGAAATTTTTGAAGATTAAGGATATGGAGGATGTATCTTCAATTTGCACCTACAGTAAAGGAGGTTGAGAAGGAAAAAGGGAAAGTTACTATTATGATTTTTTCTCACGATCACCACTTTTTGACGGAATAAATTATTGAGTAACCGGAAGTTTAGTGTAGTGCGTTAAATGAGCGCTGGTGAAGGAGCAAAACGTAATTGGATTGACACGTTGAATGCAACGTGGAACAAACAGAAAAAAAAACAAAAACAAATGAAGAAAACACGATTGGAAATTCACAGCTGATTTAACAAAATTTTCAGCTTTTCTTCTTTATTTGTCACTTATTGACACATCGACAAAAAACCCGCGATGATAAATGTTAAGGAATTGACATTCGACTGGTTCGAATCGGCGATAAGTCCTTGTAGTCGAGGGTTCGCGTCAGCAAACGTCAAATTACAGTAGAAGTATGCTGGAAATTTAGGGGAGACCGATTTTGTTTCGAGCTCAAGCGAGGTTCGAGTCAATAGAGGGTTCGAGTAATCAGAATGAGGAGAGGATGAACCCTGGATAAATAAAGCCATGCCGTGAACTGGATGTTCACGTTATATAAATAGTTGGTGAATTGACCGTTTGTCCACAGCTGAGCACATGAATTTGACTAAAGGAATGATCCAAGAGTTGATTTTTATAGGCGGTTTTAAGAAATTTTAAAAAGTTTACGTGTTCATTCCAGTGACATAATTTGAGTGACTTCGGAGATCAAGCGTGGCTGAGGAAACGAGGTTGATGTTTTGTTAATTATTTTCACAGATAATTCACAGCACTTCAATATACTAGACACCGAAGTACTATGCAAGCCGTAAACTTATTTAAAGTGTGTCATCTTCCCGATTTGGAATTGTTGCTGGTGCCACTGCCAGCGTGGCGAATAAATTACACGCTAATTATCGCACCTCCTGAAAAAAGTGCCGGTTTTCGAGTGGTTCATGAGGGCAAAAACGGGTACTCTTAGACAAAAATAAATAGACCAGAGTACAGTTTGTAGAATTAACTAGACCACCTGACCAAAGTATAGTTTGTAGAATCTATGAATCCTGATGCCACGCAATCATCTCCGGTGAAAAACCGGATGAATCTTCCTTGAAAAGAGCGGTGAAATAACAAGACGTATTGTATCGTGATTGGCTTACTACCTCTTTTCCAGTCTTCAACTCGAGACGGCCAATGCCGAAATCAATCATGGCGCCGGTGCGGATGACTGTGTCTTTGGGAATAATTCTTCTATTAGGATGTCATTTGGCTTATTCTCTACCTGATACCGACTCACCAGAACGCGAACAATCTGATAAAATCATTGATTCAAATAATCCTTCTGTAAGGAAGGAAGAGCATGACAATGAAGTAGACGAACGAAGTAAGTTGAGCTGATTCAACAGGCGTTCTGCTGCACAGGTCATACATTACGGTTTGAGCTGGTATTGTTGTTGGTTACGCGGACTTTGATCATTCTGGCAATTTGTATTTTTCATTCAAACATCAGGTAATCAAGTGCCCAAAGCCCCTGAGAAGCATATCCAGCGATCCAATGCTCCTGTGGCTAACTCTGACGGTGAACTAGACCAAAGAGGTACCTAAAATCTTCCGCTCAGGAGATTTGTCTGAAATTTGTTATAGAGTCGTGGAACATCGTTAAACCTGACCTCTTATGTCGAAATTGAACTAATACCGCCTAATTTGATCCGCCTGAGCATAAGTTTAGAAGTATTTGCTTTTATTTTCAATGGAGGTATTTTTTTTTCTCTTTGTTACATCGGACTATAGGGAGAAAAGCGGGCAAAATCACAAGTAATATTTGCTGTTCGAGTCGACTGCGATCGTGGTTCGAAGTCTACCCAGCAGTTAACATGAACCTCTTCTTCTGGCATGACATTCTCAGTCTGTTATGTCCATTCATGGAGACCGCTTTTTTTCTCTCTTTAACAGTTTCAGCCCGCCTATCTATATGTACATAATAACATAATTCTTTTCTTTGTAAATTGAACAGGCTTGAATGACTATCGAACAGCTGTTTCTTGTGCTAGCATTTCGTTTCCAGGATGGTGAATCGCTTCTTAAGCTCTAGATGTGTTCTAAGTTTATTTACGATTAAGGGTTTCCATGATTCCTGGTTTGTTTTATTTTCCTGTTCTTTCGATATCATTCGAGCTTTCAGTCTACTTTTGTATACCGTATTCTTCTTATCGTATAATTTGTGTTGTGGCCACTAGCTGTAGAGATCCTAAGGCAAGTTAATACGTTACAAGTTTGTCCGTACTTTTGCTTGATTTTAATTTCATTTTTCAGCCCGCAAATTCTAGTTAGGATGTCTTTAAAATTGACGAGGCGCTTCCTTTTAGTTTGCATCGAAACGGCTGAGTACTCTTTAAATGACTGTTGTTCAAATAGTTTTCTGAATCCTTTATTGTCAGATTTCGACAAAACAATCAGTTAATGCTACCTGTGCCTTTTTGATAGAAATAGCAGTTTTCAACCTTGCTTTTTTTTTTTTGGAAAACCAATAAGACGTTTGAAATGTATGTCAAATTTGTATTGAAAGACATTTGTCTTAGAATTCATATGACAACTAAAAACCAACCAGGTTTTCATATTATAATGGTTTGGAATCATTAGATTTTCACTTGTTATAGTACCAATTTTTGAAATTTACATCCTGTAGAAGTTACAGGTATTAAACGATTAAGGAAAAAAAAACCACAAATACCAATCAAACAATTTCAGAGGTCCTGAGCCATACCCTTGCCTACCCATCTCTATCTATAGACAATCATTATTTAATAGCCAGCTAAAAAAAAAGAAAAAAACCTGAAATGGTTCAAAATCTTCCTACCACAACTTTTTAACTTTTGAACCTTCAAAACGCACTTACACAAGATCTGCAAAATGATCGGTCATAGGGTAACTGCACTTTCAAGAATGCATCTATCTACAATTGCAGAGTTGTTTTCTGATATGGGTAACCCTATGAGAGATATTTTTACACACTAACCCAAAGAAGGAAGCATTAGAAGTGATTGACATGTGGTGGTTACTTCTACTGACAAAATCCAAACAGAGAACAAAATGTTAAAAAAAAACTAAAAAATAATTGCAAGCATTCCATATCACTGAATTTCTTGTCAGGCACCATTTTGTACCACATCTCTCATTGTGGCTGATACTCATAAACAGCATTCTTAAGATTTTTTTACTTGCAGCTTTGTTAATGAGGGAAAAAAAAAAAGCAATAAAAATGACACCCCAAAATGTTGCAATTCAACAGAGGTGTGCTCAAAATTCCATTAACAAAAAACAGTTATGTTTGTTTCTGAAACAATTTCTAACAATTCCTGCTCATTGTCCTATCTGTGTCAACAAATTTTAAGCTTGAGAACATTTTAAGCATCTAGTGAGTTCCAGCTTCCTTTAATGAAAATTGTATGCTTATTTTGACATTGATTTAAACATGTTGACATTGAAGTAGACATTGAACTATTTACCCATGTTTGTTACATGCAGCTTCTGTTAGCAAAAAATTAAATCCCAGAAAAAAAAATTGGATACTAAATTTAAAAGTAAGCAGAGTTGTTAATTTGCAATTTTAGGCAATGTCCCATTTAAGTGTTTCTCAGTTACTGATATATCCCATATAACAAACTATTGTGGAATTCCAAAATAACAAATAAAACTATTCTCCTTAATTGTTGTTTTAGATAAATCAAGGGAAGAGAAAAGACCAGATGGAAAAATTAGATTAGGCCGGAGGAAGTCAGAAGATTGGTGGTGATGAGTCACCATGCTGATTTTATATCAGCCGACTTTGTCCACAAATTCCTAAGGGGAACAACTTTGGTCTTCTGGTTTGTCTACAGGAGAAAGCAATGGTATGGTTTTCTTACTCACCCTAGGCTGTAATAGAGGGGAGGGGTGGGTGAAGGAGGCTTGTAAAAGCGCAATGAAAGAAAAACCTAAAAAAATCATAGAGGAAGCAACAGAAGTGTTGATCGACTGAATTAAGTTGTTTATGAATAAAAGTGGTAGGCTTCTAAAGAGACTGTGTTGCTATAAGCCAGTGCAGGGTATTACAAGATAAGTTGGTTTTAGCAAATGATTTAACTCTTGAACTCCAGATCCAATTTGTAATTCTCCTTACCTTCAACCATACAATTCTTATAATGTCAATTCAGAGAATTTAGTATTGGATCTACTAATTATCTCCAAATTGATCTTTTTCTTTATTTTCATCACTTATCTGGTTGTTATTGTATAGATATTGTAAGGATAAATTCTGTCTTGGTCACCATGGTTGTTTAAGAGTTAGTAATATAAATTGGCCACCATTTAGTGTCTCCAAAGCTGATGTATTCAAGCCATAGCCCTTTGTCAAAGGATATGACATGATAAACGATATCACCTAGTTGATAAAACCAAATAATTTAGTAAGTTTTTTTAATTTTTCGTTTGTAGGGAACTTTTTAAAATCAATATGATTGTTGTGATAAATTAATCTAATTTCCATACTTGGAACAAAATCAAAAGTAAAATCAGGAATCCAACAAAGTTAAATCTACGCAATACTTTAGATCATTTAGGAGTAATTTTGGATGTTAGTGACATATATCTTTGGTTCACTGTAGGAAGATGACTTGTCCTCAGATTGCCATCATGTAAGTTGATTGATATGTCTTTCTAAAGGTACTCTGTAAATTTCTGCTTGTCTAGTGGGTCTCTGCCTTTAAACCTTGGTTGATGCAAAGTTATCACATGCCTTAACTATTGTTGCTGATCATGAGCAGGTTTGAGATAAATTGATTCGACTCAGTTGCAACAAAATACTTTACATATTGTTTGAATCGTGTTGAAAAAGGAGGTATACACTGGTGAGATATACAGTGGATGCAATTGTTCTCATGGAGAGAACAAAATGTGATCTTTACAGAACTTGTTGCCACATAAGTCTTCCTCTTTTTTGGCTGAGCAGCAATGTTTGTAATGTTGTCTTAAGTCTGTCTGTAGTTCTAAATTAATCAGCCTTTTAAAACAATTTTTCATTTATTTATTTTTGAAGATGCTTTGGGAATTTAAAAGAAAATTCTCTAAAGATGAAAAGTTTGAACAGACAGTCAAAACTAGATTTTGTGTGGAGGACTTGAAAAAGGTAAAATCAGGTTGTTACCATTTTCTAACAGTTTGCATGTGGATGCTCCTTTAAAGCACTAGTATTGTGTTTCTTTAAACTGTTGTTGAAATATTTTGCTAAATTATTATATAAACATCAAATAGATTCCATGTTTCCATGGTTTGCACAGTAACAGATCACAGAACTTATCAAAATGTGTTAAGATCATTGGTGACACACTTGGCTGCTCCTCACATGCTACTTTTTCTTTTTGGTACCATATCTCGATGTCATCTGTGATCAATTACTGACAGATGCAGGGCAACATGGAATCTGTCTGTTAAGTAAACAACCCTGATAAAGATACTAAGTTTGTGGTTATTTTTGATAGTGTTCCAAGTTGTTGATTTTTTTCCTCAAATGTCCATTTTCCAAGGACACATTCATCACTATGGTTGTTTTAAAAGAAAAGTTACAAATGAAAATAAATTCAAAGAAGGTTGGAAAGAATAAGTTTTCTATAAGGGTTTTCCAAAGGTTTCTGAAGGTTTTCAAAATAAATAGGAAACAAGTCAAGCAAAATTTGCTTTTCAGCTTGAAATTCTCATTAGCACATATCAAACTAATGAAACCATGATAATTGGTGATCTGCCACATGATCTGTGGACAAATGTCTAGAGAGCTTTTACCCTTTCCCAGAGTTATTTTTACTGATGCTTGTATGTTATATTACTTCATGTGCTACAACTCTAATTTGTTCAGTATTAAATGTTCCAGTTCCAAGACTGTCAGAAACCAGGAGAGATTGTTTAGCGTGTTTGTTGGAAAACAGGCAGAATCTTACAGTTCCATCCTGCAAACATATGATGACTAAAATGCAGGCCATTTTCTTCAGTGATTTCCGATTGATCTCCCACTTTTTGGAGGATTGTTCATCAGATGTGAGCAAATACAAGTGTGGCAGAATTCCATCAGAGCAAGAGGATGAGGTTTGTAATTTATCCGTTAATCATTTGACAAGGAGATTGGCTGAGAATGGAATTCTTTCTGAGGAACACATGGCAATGATGGCACTCACTAGTGGCACATCAGTTACAAGAAGGCCCAACTCAACCTGTGTTAATAATTTTTTACAGAAAAGTTTTGAAAAAAGAAAGATTTATTTTTGAAAAAATGATAAAAAAAAACTTTATCACTCAAAATTTTTAAGGAATTATCTTTATATTTGTCTCAGGATATCCACTCCCAAAATGATGTGTTAGAATGTCTTGAAGAACACCAAGATGACTTATACGCAAAGCATGTCAGAAGCAGATCTATCGTCTTGCTGAACTGTCTTCAGATGACTACCATCTTGATCGACCCTTATATTATGCCTGTAAAGATGACAGGGAGAGGTTTTGTGTTGATGTCCCATCAGGGAGGGGAGAGTGTACAAATGCTTGAAGAAACACAAGTTAGAGGAACAAATGGTGATGAGGTATGCGTGGTGTTCTGAACAATGAGATAACCTCATTACCAACTGGTGTGTTTGCTAGTTGTTCTACCTAAGGTTTGTTGTTACAAGGCAAAGTGATATTAACAAGAGCACATAGTGCTGATAGTAGGTATTTTTGGTGTAAGCCAGGCACAGTCACAGTCACATTGCTGCCATCAGTTAATGCCCCAGTTGCAAATGGAGGCTAGCTGCCCTGGGGGCTTAGGGTCTGCTACACCAAGGAACTAGAATACCTGACTTTGGATTTGAGTAATTTAGAGAAGGATTGTTGTTGCTTAAATTGATTGATGTTTTACAATCTGAAAAAACTGATCATCATAGTTAATTTACCAGATTCTTGGTGGGATGTGAAAGTGGCAATCACTGATACAGAAATGAAAACCAGTCCTTTTCAGGACTACTTGCATTCTTGGTGTAGGGTCCTAAGAAATTTTTCTCAATCTTTCATGATACTGCACTTCTGATTTAAGTGAGTCCAGATGTAACTTTCAAGCAATAACTTCATAAGTGTTTTGGTAGTTTCTTTCCTCAAATTATTTTGTGTCACATCCTGAAGTTCATTAATTTGTTTTCATTTTTTTTCCCATAGTGTAAAGATAAGTTGACAGAGACAAAAATTGGAAGCTAAGGATGCTAAGGTGAGACATCCATACCAAAAATTTTCAAGTTTGGGAAGTGCTTTTCCAATTTAATTTATTCAGCCCTTTAGTGTTAACTGCCTAGTGGGAACACTGCCCTGAAATCTTAATTTTTCTCATCTTAAGGGAAAAAGGAAATTGTGTGAAACTATTTGGAGATTTAAAATGTTTATGGGAAGTCTATTTTGGTTAAAATTACTTGGAGGTTTGGGAAAAGGATAAAGAAATCAGATTATTCTGTGTGCAAGCAAGAAGAGTAAGTGGAAGATGAATTGCTTGTATTAAAAGTGAAGTGGGCACTGTGCAGTCCAAAGCAAAGCAAAGGGGTAAAACTTGAAAGAACAGAGAAGAAATCCCATCTAGTTACAGTCTTGAAGCTTGAAATCATAGAGCTTTAGATTTTGCATTTGGGCAATAAATCTGAACTGAAAAAAATTGATCTGCAACTTACAGTACAGACCCCTAACTTGGTATGTAAGAGGTATGTTTCTTCTGTTGGAATATTATAACTGATGAGAGGGATCTTTTTCTTCTTTGAAGGCCAACTATCCACTAATGAAGAATTGCCTGAAGTACTATACAGAATTTAGGGAAAAATATGAATGTGAAAGAGGAAGTACAAAACATGGAGCCATGGCAAACATTCTGATATGTTTGGAGAAAGCTATACAAAATGGTAATGATTACCACATAGATTATGTAAATTATTTATTTCTGTAAATCTTTATGACTTTACAGGAATAAAACTAAGCAGGTAAAAAAGTTTGGCATTATTATGTGTTGATATTTTATCAAAGTATGACTTCCTTGTTGCCAAGGAGATTGTTACTCCTGCTGTCAATACATTTCAGCCTATCTAAATATTATATTTGCTGAATAATTTTACACTGGAATTGCAGATGAAAAAGTGGGTGGCAAATGCCAGGCAGAATTATTTGATCTGCGACAACAGTTGATGACAGATTACTCCCTCAATCCTGAGATTGTTGCTAAATGTGACCTGGAAATCAGAGACAGCTGTCAGAAAGAGGCAACAGTGAAGGAGGGAAAGACAATTGACTGCTTAATGGCCTTAGCAGAGGAACATGAAGGGGATGATAGTAAGATCAGACCACAATGCTTCATGAGCAGTAAGTACCAAACTGTACATGAAGTGGTGTGAAGATTTTGTTTGTTGAAAAAGGGCCTTAACCCCAATAACTCCTAGTTCAAATTTGTCATTCTCCCTTACTGTCAACCATAAAATTCTAATGATGTTAGTTCAGAGAATCTTGTATTGGACCAACTTATTATCCCCAAATTGATATTTTTCTTGATTCTTATCACTCATTTGGTTGATATGGTATTGATATTGTGAGGAGAAATCCTCTCTTGGTCACTGATATGCTCCCAAAAAGAAGGGAGAAAACTAATGTAACATTTAAGCCTGACAGTTTACTCACTTGGCTTTCAAAAAGTGGCAGCTAAATCACATGGTCAAAGAATGACTAGTCCTATATGATGTTGTTGCATGTGAAAAAGACTCTAGGATTTTCACAAAACTTTTTTCACAATCTAAGCTAAATTTTTATTTCATTTGGTACCCCTTCTGCTTTGGAGGGCATCATACTCACTTAATTAAAAAGCATTTTATTAATAGTGCACTTGCACTGCATGCATTATTTGTTGATTATTAATTAAGAAAGGATTATCAATCAGTTGTGTTTGCATGACAGGTTGAGGAACTTTTTAGAGGAAACTGGTGCAGGAAGTGATTACCGCATTGATCATACCTTGTACCAAGCATGTGAACCTGTTGTGCAGACTGTGTGTAAAGATAAGGGCAAAAAGGAAGGAGATGTTATGTGAGTATTGATGCAAGTTTTATAAGTGTAGAGCTCTCTTTAACAGAGAGTCATAAAAAACAAAAGCATTGTTATCACATCAAGAACTCACAATGTGCAGAAATAACCTGTGTTGGGCTCAGGAGAACATGATTTATCAGTGGAAGCCACCTTTGGTTTTAATGTTGAATCAGATTAATGATATGGTTTGCAACTTTTCTTAAGACTTTCTTTAGCCAATGTAATGTTTTCAATTTGAGCAAAATTCATTTGCTCTGACTGGCACTTAAACTTACTAAATGAGCAGGATAGTGAGCTTAGAATACATACATGTATTTTCTTTTCTCTTGCATTTTTTTGGAAGCTGTTTATTATTCCATGTGAGGCAGCATCAACAATCAAGTAGCATTGTTTAAAAAATTCTACTTTGCTAGTTGTTTCTCCAGATGTTACTTTGTACTCTATTGGTGTGTTTTTTGTACTCTACTTTGTGCAGTTGGGTAATAAGAGGTCAGATAGGCTGAGAAGAAAGAGCAGTGTTAGGTTTTTTTAAGGTCATCAAGCCTTCCCCTGTTTTCAAGACTATATCCCACTCATTATTTTTCATCAGTAATTTGTGAGTTGTTTTCCCATCTGTAGGGTTTTATCTTGTCTGATGGAAAATCTTCACACAGACAACATGATACCAGAATGTGAGGTACAGCTGCTTCATCTGGAATTTTTCATTGCAAGAGACTTCAAGTAAGGGCAAACTTTAATTCTGAGTAATTTTAACATGACATGTGCACTATAATGCTTACTCTTGGTTTATTGTATCAGACCCTGGGATTCAGATTTTTAGACATTCTTAAAGGCAATTGAAAATAAACGACTGCACATAGAGACCTTTTTTTTCTTGAAACATGAAGCCATTACAAGAGATTCTCAAGGGTAACTTGGCCTATCAAAATGAAATATGTTAACTTTGGACGATTAGTTCTATTTGATCTATTTGTTTACCAAATTTTGTCTGGTATCCTTTGTGCATTTTGTTTACAAGTTTTGGGTTGTGATTGTTTCAGACTTGATCCTGTGATGCAGAAAGCATGTCAGGGTGATGTCCAGAAAGTCTGTGGTGCTGATTCCCTTGAGGACCAAGACTCGCATCCAGTCAGCCTGATTTTGTCATGTCTTTATCGACATATTGTGCTGGATACAGGCGTAAAGGTACAACCTTGATTTTAGAAACCTACACACCAAGAATGGCAACACACAATATGGCATGTGTAATTGTTGTTATCATCACATAGGTTCAAGGAAAGGGTACACTATGATTGGTTGATACCTTTGAAGTGCATGGTGATACCAGATTGTTTTGCACTTTTTGCAACATTTTTGTCTTAGTGTTGCCAGTTTTCACAACATAAATGTTTATTCAAATGCTGACAACAAATACATGGGTTGTTGGGCTATATATTACTGCCAGATGTTGCATAGTTTCAAATATCTAGAATAATATTTCTCCATTATTCAGGTCTCCCCCAAATGTGCTGCACATGTAGAACGAGCCATGCACCAAAGGGCTGTGGATGTACATCTGATGCCTGAAATACAAAGAGCTTATGTGGTGGATCTTGGAAAACAGTGCAGTGATCAAGTTGAAAAGGAGGTAAAAGGTTACTAAGTTACATATCCCTCCAAATGAAAACTCTGTCAGTTATTCTTTATTCTTCTCCATTTTCTTACTAACTGTAGCTATTCCTCTTCCCATGGGGTGAGAATCCTTCTGCCAGAGATCCCCTCCAGGCTCAGTTGACTACCTCCTTTTCTAGGTGTTCCCATATTCAGGCTCTGTCTCTCTTCCTCTTCACTGTCCTCAGCTATTTTCTTTGTTGTGCATCTCCTTCTGCACCCATTGAAGGTCCATGCAAGGGAATAAGTATTCTGTTTTAAACAGTTTACCATTGTTCACAATACTATCTGGTGAATTCTTCTAGTTTATGTAATACTGCTAACTTATAGGGTCTGGTTTTAGCTGATTGGAATCCTTTTGGGTTCAACAATTTGATCTCATGTACTCTTCCTTGTTCCCTATTGCTCACTCATTCTCCCATATATATTTTATGCTTTATCTTGTTTTATAGGAGATAGAGTGTTTGCAGGAGAAATTTGACAACCTCACTGACACTTGCCAAAAAGCCATTAGTGATTTTACTGAGGGAGGAGGGAGAGGTGTGTCTTGTTCTTTAATCTTTATCTCAAGCTACTGCATTAGACTATAAATAATAATATTAATGATAATGATAATGATAATAATAAGTTGTCTTGGTGAAGGGATTTTGAAGTAAACAGAAATGAGATTCCAGTGTAGTCTTAAACTTACTTTCTTCAGGGCAGTGCTTAGAAGAGTAAGATGTCTCTGGACTCTATTTATAAGACTAGGCCTTTTTGAAGTGACTTTGAGAGCAGTGTATTAGAGATCCTTTGTTGAGGCAAAGATTGTAATGGTAAGCAGTCTGAAATAATGATCCTTTGGCTGATCATGTGAAGAATGCTTTTTGTACTTGATAACAGGACTACAAGCTGGACAGGGTTCTAGTGCGTGCTTGCTCTGGAATGGTGACAAAGTTTTGTGAGGTGGGTGGTAGTAAGTTTTCCAGTACAGTTTTATGTTTAGTTTTTTAGTAATATTTTAAGAGGTAATTCCTATACATGGTGTACCTACCAGCATAAAGTTTTTCTGGGTTAACCTATTCCCCTAAATTTAGAAAAACTTGTTTTATTTAATGACTGCTTCTTGATTGTTGGTGTCATATTTCATGGCTGTTACCCCTGAGTTAGAATCATAAACTGAGTCAATATCACTGTTGTGTCTTGTTCAAATAGGATATTGTAACCCAAGGTAACACAGAAGGAGTCCTACCATGTTTAGTTGAACACAAAAATGATCAAGGAATGGATGAGAAGTGTTATACAGCCATTAACCACTGGCAACTGGTGAGTAAAAATGAGGTTTGTGGGAAAGAAAGCTTTTAGGAGACTTCTGATGCACTACCTGCTTCCCCTCCCAAGGGGAGAATCTAACACTCTAACACTCCATTAGAAGTTAGTATATTTATTATACCACACAAGTGAATTGTGCTTTTAAGCACTTGATGGCTAGTTTGAAAGTAAATAGCAAGTTCTATTCACCTCTGGGCTGGCAATGCTACTGAATGGCACATCACTAGTTAAATTTCCAACCACATTTCTGTATATCAGAAGAAACAACCAAATTTTTGGTATCTGTGTTGTATATGTTAAAACAATTATTCACCCCAGTGTTGGCAAAAGTTTTGAATATTTACCTTGCAGCTTCACTGCACCTGAAATATCCACCACTATTCACTTCCATTTCAGTGAATAATTATTAATCATTAAAATTTTTTTTCCAGGTAGCCCTTCAATTTGCAATCTGAAAAAGGTTCACATGTATGACATTAAATACTCCAAAATATTCTTTTGAACCAAATTGCAACATGTGAATGGTTAAAAAACACACTTTTTGCACCATATTTGATTGTGAGGTTTATTAGACATGCCAGAGAAGGGAACGTTGTCAAGAAAATGAATTACGAGAAATCTTTCAAGGATGTTTGTTATTTGATAATTGTCTTTTTTATTCCAGCTGAAGGAAGTTGATATGCTATTGTTATATTTATTTTCATTTGTTCATTATTTTTAGGGTTGAAATGAAAGACTTTCATTTTTCCCATGAATTCAAAAGAGCTTGCAAAGATGATGCAAGGAAACACTGTGTAAGGAGGCAAAGAGCAAGTAAGCACTGATTTAAAAGAGGAAAGGGGAAACTGAAGTTGAACAAACAGCTGTATTGTGTATTCATTGAACAGGTGGCCTCGTGTGAAATTCGATATCGCTACATTTATTCATTTCATTTCTGGGGGTGTTGTTCTTTTTTTGAGAGAGATGCAATGCCTCACTGGCTTTGTACATGTAATGAATTTATTCCGTTTTCCGACTTACAACAAGTGGCTAAAAGTGAATCCGACCAAGTTTAAACTAGAATTTCAGAGTTTGATCCATGAACGCAAGCGAGAACATACACACCAAACAACTCCGAACAAGTACAACCACATCAAGTGGTCACGTGATTAACAAGCAACGTCAATGTCAACGTAGGGGGTCCCTGAATTCAGCACAGTGCATTGGCTAACCCTTTACATCCTAATATTGGTATTCATATTCTCCACTTCTCTCTCTTAACATTTCCTATAATGGTACATTTTGTACTGTCAAGGAGAATCTGTGTAACAATCAGGAGCGTCTCAAATTAGTGATAATTTCCTTTTTTTTTCTCATGACCTTTACATTTGATTCAAGTTGTGATAACGATTTTCTTTCAGACATGACCTTGTTGTCTGTTTGAGTAAAGATCCGAGATGCTGTTATTGGCGAAGAAGAACATGTCATCTCTGATACTTGTCGCAAAACACTTGAAGATAGAGAAGGAGGTTGAGGTAAGTTCATAGGATCAACATCAGTATCTGGGCAGCTACCTACCTACCCCTCCTTAGCTCTCCTCCAACCTTTTCCCTCTCGTTAACCCTTTTAAACCCTAATATCAGTTTCAATATTCTCCATACTCATCTCTACATTTCTTTTGTTACTGACGATGAGAATTCGATTAACAATCAAACTTCTAGGGTTGTGATCATTTCCTCAATTCTCATGATCCTAATTAATGATTTAGCAGTGTTGCGATAAGAGAAATTAGATGCTGGTCAGTCCCAGGCTTAAAAGGGTAAGCAAGTTATTCTTTTTTAAGTCGAGCGATATTTTTCCTTTCAGTCGGGAAAATGTCGAATTTGATCCTAATGATGATGGTGAAGTTGGCAGATGTTGCAAAATTGTGTCACCAAGTTACATTTGGTCAAGCAAAGGTAAGCCTTAAAATATAGTGGTAATCTGTTTAACGAAACTCCTCTGTCTTAAGCACAAAATTGTCACGTAACTCACCCTATACATCGAGAGAGTGAGGGAGCATGTTGAGTCATAACTCAAATGGTGGCTGCAAAGAGGATGAACCTTCCTCCCCTTGCCAGGACCAGTAGGGAGGTATTGAAATCTTTTATAAATCATTATTACGTCATCATATGCAAACAAACCAAAAACGAAATCCAAAAGATAAGTGTTGTTGGTAAATTATTGATATTTGAGAGGGTTAACCTTCACATGAATCTACCCTGGTTAGATACCAGCCTGTAAAGGGCTCTGCTTCGGTTCTCTTAATTAAAGTTGATGTTGATGCGATGTTGAACAACCAGGAGACTTGAGTTACTTGGAGGAAAACGAAAGGATATGATGGGGACTTAGTCTTTGTGGGAAAAGCATTCCAGCTTTACAAGATGTTCAGTATATCCCTGGTTGGAAAACAGCCTTGCAGTTGAGGAAATGCAAAGGATTGGAACAAAATTGCTTTTATCGCTCTAACTCTATTCTGCACAGTGATTTAAGATTTTATCTTCGTGCATTATGTTGAGCGATTTTGTGGAACACTTTGTTGTCCACTCTGCATGAAAAAGTGAATTGCTGATTTATGTGTATGTGGATGAGTAAGGCAAAATTATCACTCTTTAGTTTCTATTTCTTAGTTGATAGACTAGTGCAAAAGAAAAAGGTATAACAGAGTCATTAATTGATCAACGTTCTTCTTACGGATGCTGAGTGCCTCAAAGACAACCGCGAAACAGTTATCTATTAATGAGAGAGACGGTGTTCAAGCATGAGGCAAGGTTGTTAATCTTAACGTTGAAAAATGAAACTTTTCTTTCGATCAGCCGTTTGGTTGGTTTCGTTAATTTTGATTGTGCCTTTATATCCTCCTTCTGCTATCATTGCCTCTCATTTGCTCGTGCATTTTCAAGAATTTTCAACCAACAACCGGCAAAACTGAAAGCACAACGACTTAGTCACTCCCGCCTTCTTGCTTCTCTGGCGGTGGTTTGTTTGTTTTCTTTAGGTATCCATGTACTGATTTATTTGCAACTAATTGACCATTGTGATTTTTACAAAAGTTCGATTGATGAGCGCTCTGGGACTTTTGAAACAATAAATTTCTTTTTTTTTTAAATTTATATTCAGGAGGAAGAGTTTGAAGACCCAGTTGGACTACGACTGAGAAAACGTGTCGGAAGATGATCAAAGTACGCGCGTCGTTGGCCGTGTGTGTAATCGAGTTAGAAACCAAACGAGACATGTCAGTCACTTGGAAATTCTCAATCCTGTGTATTCACTGCTAAGGGAATTCTGGGCTATAAATTCGACCTTTGGGATAAACATTAAAAAGATGAGGAACGATCCTGCCTTTACTTCACATAAATACTATTTTTTTTTTTCGTAGCAACAGAAAATTTCCATGCCTTATTTTCACAACCCCTATTCGTTCAATGTTTTCTTTTATCTAACAAAGCCCCAGTTCTCTCTGAAAGGTTTATCACAGCAACAATCAAGCCCCCTTAAAAACATCCCTGATTGTAGCTTTATGAAGTCAAACCCTAAACAATGGTGCACTGAGCCCAGTTGTTTTATTCAATTTCAACTATTAGATCATGTTAGTTCAAAGAAATCTGTACTGTGGATTTACAGCCTCACATAATGTTTGCGGTGATTTATTTCCAGCTGTTTTTGCGATGACGTCCAACTGTCCTGAGTTATTTTCTTGCCTCAAAGCACAAGAATGAACCGGAAATGAGCGCAGGTACTAAACTGCCTTGTTGTTCATCATTTAGTGGCCAGACCCTACAGCCACCTTCAGGTGCTCCATAAACACATCACAATGAACTTTATAGAAAAAATTAAATAGATTTGCGTTGATGATTTGATTTTTGGAAGTTTTGAATAATAAGCACAAAGTTCTGAGTTATGCCAAAGTGCAATAAATCCCTTTAATTATATGTAGATAGTTTTACAGTCCTTTTTTACTGCTTGTACAACTATTACGGGACGATACATAATATCAGCTAGAAAGTTAAACAGTTTAGCGTGAGTCTCACCCAATGGAAAAACTTTGCTGCCACTGTTTTAGTGTTATGCAGATTTTCCGACGTGAGCCCGCAAAGTTCATGACAACGCACAATCCTCGTTTTTATCTCCTTCTTATAAAATGTCAGTGAGGTTTCTTACACCTATAAACTAACGAATACTATTCATTTAAATGCAAGTGTATTTATTTACTCAAGTTTCTAATCTCTTCCATCTGGTTTAGCTGCCAGGATGTGATTACCAAAAGACAGATATGCAAACGAAAGTTATGGGTGAATTATGGTGTTTTTGATGCACATGGTTGGAAGGTTATAGCGATTGTGGTCGCGCGAGCCTGGTCGGAGGGGAAATTGAAAGGAGAGTCCGAGCGCGCTGGCAACTGGATAGAATTTGTTTTGTTTTTACTGTTTAATTTTCCTTTCGTTGTAGAGACTCTGGCACACATTGCATCGTAACTTAATTGTAATGCTGTTGTAAAGAACATGCTACAGCACAATTATTGGGCCTCCAGGATCAACCATGTCCGCAAGCGTTTTTAAAGCGCTTTTCAAAACCAAAAAGAAATTACTACTTCCCATGCAATAGGGCTGGAAGATATCACGAGCAGTCAATGGAAGTCAAGGAAAACTTAAAAAATTGCACTAATCTAAGGAGGTTCACAGAATTCTCCTCACAATATCAATGCAATCTCAAGCAGATCAGTGATGATAATAAAGTAAATTATGAATTAGGGAATTATTAGGTTGATCTAATACCAAAATTTTCCAAACTGGTATCAAGTGAGAATTTTGGCAGAAGGTAAGGAGAATTTATCAGATCTTGGGAGTTGAAGGTTATAGTGAGAACGCGGGCGAGCAAGACACGATTGAGCCTTTAATTTGAAATCTGATTGGCTGCATTAGGGCGAGCCTTAAACCAACTACACAACAAAGTGACAAGACTTTCGACAGTCAAACAAAATTGCCTGTCAAGCGAGGAAGCACGAAGTGAACGCACGTCTGCACTCGTGAAAACTCCGCGCGGCTCCTTGATTTCGATTGTGCTTTGATACAATTGGAAGCCACATTTCAGTAATTGTTGTGCATCAGCACGTCTAATGAAACCAAAAGAAACAAAAACATACAGTACAAGAAAAAAGGTTGAGGATGAAGGGGAAATTAGAAGTAACAAAAACTTTGTAACCCTGATGCACTGGTATAAAGTAACGTGGAGCTCTGTCTCTACTTTCTTTCAGGATGTGAGACTCCGGGATCCAGCTTGGTAAATTTTATAGTTAGACATCGGGAAATTTTGCAAGGAAACCTCGTGGTGAAGGGAAGATTGTGGAACGCCTGAAGAAAAAGATAAGTGAGTTAGTGTATGATTTTATGTGACAGTTTTGTTTGGTTTTGCGTTTGTCTACTACTGTCAACCTGTGTTAGGGATGGCCCCGTGGTAAGGTACTTTTAAAATATAGTGTTAGGTTCAATATTCGGTAAAGGAAAACAAACCTAAACTTTGGAATTGAAATCATTTAGGATGAATTTCACGTTGGTAAACGTGAGTTGTTTCCGCTTTGGGAAAGATTGCCTGACATGTTGATGACAAGTATTGTGTGCTGTTAAGAACATTTCAACAGACGAAAGCGAGAAAATGTGATTTGTGGAAAAGAAATATTGAAGGTATGCAGATCAGCTGTTAGGCTTCAAGCAACAATCACCATGACCAATTATACGAACATTTTTTCGCGTCCATTTGAGGCAAGTGTTTTCACTGTTCCTCAAACTCTATTATATTAGACGACAGGACTGTCTAGTTTCTCTTGAACGGATCTATCAATAAAGCCAGATTTTTTTTACATGCGATTGTACCAGCCACTGTTGGACTAATTAGTTTTTTCCTTCCTTTGTAACTGAACCTAAACGGTCTCCATTTAATCAAATTTAGTAGAATTGTTTTTTATACTGAGGAACATGGGTAGGTGATGAAAATTGATCATCCACGGATATTCCTTGGGGCTTTTTTTGGCTTTTCCCGCAAGGCTCAGGTCCCTCCTCAAGTTCATAAATTTTATTAATATTGACATCCTAGTCACGTTGTCTGACGGCGCATGGACTATACATCTGGGCTGATGCGTGAGAGCAATACTGCAACTGAACGGAAGCATAAATTGAT